TTGGAGAAACAGTCTCGGCAATAACCTTGGCAGCGGGCTCTTCTTCGATAACAATTGGGGGCACAGAAGTTGTTGCCAATTGTTCGGTAAGAGGGGTCGGCTCAACTGTTGATAAAAAAGTCTAAGAAATTCCTCACAGTTCTGCATCCAGAGGCTGCTATGGAAGGTCCCTTTTTTGCTCGGGGTGTCTTTTCCCAAGCAGCCTGGATGGCTTCCCCGATCTGCTGCAAGCGTTGCATTGAGTTGGTTCAACACAACGATAAAAGATATGTAGTTGGGCGTGTATCCAAGTAGTGTATGGGTAGCTCGGTAGAACAAAGATTCGTTGAAATCCCCAACCTTTTGAAGTTAGTCCAACTTAACAAAAAACTTAGGGATTGTGCCCTTCACAGTTTCTCCTACACGAGAATTATATCAAATTCAATAAAAAAAAGAAAGAATAGCGAATCTTTAGAGGAGAAGAAGATTCGAGTACTTGGTGCGCCTTCTTCATAAGGGCAACGATAGGAAGGAGAGGCTCTAGTGGGGTATTCCCAATTCCTAGAAATGAACACAATGTCATTTTCATGACCTTTGTTCAAATCGGGAAGGTGGGTAACCAGATAGCGGTCCTTTTTCCTCACTAATAGATAGTAGTTATCTCCAACAGCTTTGATGATATAGCAGTACAAAATCTCCCACAGCCCAAGACTCAGACCTAGAATCTTGTTCAAGGAGGACACCCCCATGACAATCCTGAAAAAGTTTAGACAACATTGGAGGGGACAGAGCTTCGCAGCAGAAAGCACCCAGATCAAAAGGGGGTCAAGAGGGAACCGAACGCCACCCTCGGTTATGGCACGAGTAGCAATGAGGATTGACTCTTTTGTGCCAATCAATGGTTCATCCTTTCCCGCAACTCTTATTTCAACATGTCAGGAACGTTGTATTTTACTCTGAAGGCTGGAATTTCAGAAGGCGTGAGAGGGGCCATTGAAGAGGATAGAATTTAGAGAGAAAACACAGAAAGAAAAGGATAAGAGTCTGAGAATCTGGAAGCAGAAAAGCGAAGTGTGTAAAATACGAAGAAAGACGGTTTATAAGGGGAGAGGAATTTTAAACGACAACATTTAAATGCCCTGAATATACCACCAAAATGAAATGGCATGTTACAAAGTACAAGTAATGATGATGAAAAGATAAGAAAATGGCTGACAGCCAAAAAACATCTATCATACGTTTTCTGGGGGCAAATGAAGGGGTTAAACCTCATGATTACACATGATATGACATTAAATGTGCTTACGTGGTGTTAACAAGACAAGACACGTGATGAAAAATCCTCTATTAAGCCTTTTAACCAAGCCGAGCTAATTAAAGGTTCGGTAATCAAAGAAAAAATTTGATTCTCTTTATGACTGAACTCATCAATCTATTCGACTAAGCAAGGAAAGAGCTCGGTTTGTACCAAGCCAAGTTCACTAAAGTGTTCGAGAAGGCGATAGAAGAGAATGGTTTGTGCCAAACCAAGTCCCTAAAACTGTTCGGCAAATGTCAAATGTGCTCGGCGTTCGATATGTTCGAGCTGTTCAAAACGATATATGGAAAGATAAAGATTTGCCTATTACTTAGGCAATCAGATAAACGAATCAACAAAATTATAGATATTAAGAGGAATTGTTGGAGAAATATCAACAACTTCCCAAACTAAATGACTGAATTGAAGGAGGGTGTACCACCTTGAATAAAAAATCACAAAAACCCTAAGGGGATGACCAGAAGAACCCAAGGTGAAAGGTACACAGAACTCTCCTGGTTTTCTTCCATTCGTTTTAGTATTTTTACTGACTTAAACATCAGTGTCTTCGATCGAAGCACTTCGATCTTGAACAGTTTATTCATTTTGTAGGTAAAAGAAAACTGGAAGATCAAGTTCAAAAACACATTAAATTTTCAATTCCTGTAGGAGGTATTCTCAATTTTTTAACTCTTACAGCAATCATGTCGTCTCAAGCAAGTTCGTGACACATCTAAGAAAAATCGTGTAAAAAAATAGCTCAATTTATACATGACGTATTCATGAAAATGGATCCAAATAACAAATACAAACACAATTCATTTTTGTTTGATGGTGGATAAAGTCGCGCTACACTTGGCATAAATTCATATTTGTTATAAAATTAATCTTATTTAGACATAAATTAGAAATTTAATTTTGTCACCTAATGTTTTTATGTCAGTAAATTAACAATGAGTCACGATATTAGATGAAGTTATCTAATAATAATAATAATAATTCGTTAAGTTACTCCCAACCAATGGTAGATTCAATTTTATTAATTAGGTCAATTACATTATGTTGCTCAAAATTAAAAAAAAAAAAAAACAATGTTATTTGAATTTAATTTATTGACCTAATTCACTATAAACATTAGATTGAATGTGGGTCCTATTAAATATTAAAATTTGGTATTAATCTAATAGTTACAATGAAATCATATCATTATATTAGATTTTTAGATCTAAATAGCATTATTTCAAAAAAAAAAAAAAAATCCAACTAAAACGCATCGTTTTGATTAGCGTACAAAGTCTTCTCTCTCCAAAACCCTAAACCTCAACTTGGGAAGCAGCGAAGTAGAAGTCCAGTGCGACAACTAGTAGGGGCTGTGTATTCTGCGACCATGGCTGTCAGTCTCTCTCTCTCCCCCTTTTTCTTGGTATATGATTTCTGTATCGGTTAAGGGTGCTAATAGTTCTGGAATTAGCTGTGTTTTGCTTAACGTCGGTGATTTCTGATTTATTCGGCTGAAAGTTGATGAATTATGCTAGGAATTCCCCAGTAGTTTGATGTGTGCTGCTGAAATTTGCTGTAACTTCTGTGTTTGACTTAAATTCTCTGTATTTAGCTACATTTGTGGTGATTTATAAATTATACAGCCTCTGTACATGTTACTTAAGTAATGTTTTTGTGAAATCAACCGTTTATTTTTGTATACTCGTGATTTAGACTTAGAATTTGAGCTATCACATTATTTAGTTATTGCATATAAATTTGTACATGAGGGTGGGCCTTGCTGTGGCCGTACTGTTGCTCCTCTGTGACCCAAGGGTTTGAGTCACGAAAACAGTCGTTGTGCACATACATTTGACCCTCCTCAAACCCCACTATACTGGGAGTCTTGTGCACTTGACCGTTACATAAATTTTTACATATTATCTACACAATGTGCGCCTTGCGCCTTGTCCAGGTGATCTTGGTGGCTTAGTGCACTTTACGCTTTTAACAACATTGTTTGCTGCATAGTTACAATCATCGTATGACTTGGTGAATGGGATTTTCCTTCACAATGGCAGGTTAGATGTAAGGTTATTGCAAATCATTTTGACAGTTGGTAGATAGAAGATAGACATGAACTTAAGATTGAACGCATCATATGGGGAGGATTAACACCATTGGCTAATTCTTCTCTCTAAAAATTAGGTACATGTTTGCTTGATTCTTTTGGAACCAAATGGGATGTACCAGATATCTGTCCCCTTGTGCACTGGGGAGTGAGGACAACATTAAAAACTGAGCGACTTAATTTTGAACACAAATTATTAGTAGTTATTCAATTTTGGTGTGGCATGGAAATCTTTTGTATTTCTATTTTCTTTTATAAAGCCTATATATATATATGCTGGTTCACAGGGACGGGTTTACACTGAGTATGTTTAAAATTTTAAGATTTTTTAAAATTTGCCCCCACTAAAATATTTTTAAAATTTATGAGCACTTTTATACTTGAATAATACATTTTAGATCTAAAAAAATTGACCTAAAAATGTATTAAGTGATGTAGTTTAATGAAAAATTCCAAGAATTCCAACTATAACAACGATAAATCTACAATACCAACAAGAGATATTGTACTACAAAATTAAAATTTTAATGGTTAAGTTAGAACTTTTAATAAATAAGTTATCACTCTTTGAGGTTATTCGATCAATTACAAATGTCATGATCAATTATAAATATTGCAATGGATCATAAGATGTTATGATGATCATGAATAGTCTTTAAAATGTTTACCTTTACTTTTGAAACATGTATTTTTTGTGGTCAATCATTTTTGAGTTATAACTCAATCTTGAAAAGCTGTAACTTGACCTAAATTGTTTCATCTTTCACCATGATATCTCCTTTGATACCATTAGGATAGTAATATTGAGAACGTTTAATCTGTCAAGTCATTATGCTACTATATAGCATCACTCTTTATATTTTAAAAAAATAGGAGGAATTTTTTTTTCATAAATTCCTTTTATAAATTTGAATCTCAATCAAGCATGACTAATTAGAATTTAATCTACAAGTCAGAAAGAGAAGAGAATACATGCACATACCATACAAAAGATCTGATTTTTTTCAATTTGCTATAGTTGTCATGAATGTCTTATGGAATTGCACTTCTATATTTCAATTCTAGAGTTAATGGAAATTTATTAAATTATTTTTGATTGACCTCTTGAAATTCAAGTTTGAGTGTTTTGTAATGGATTAAATTTTTCTTTCATATTGTTATAACTAAATATTTCTATATTTAAAATTTGGCTTTTATAAATCATATTTGAAATACCTATATTGATTGATTGGTTTTCAGTATTGAATCTATTGACATAGGAACATATTTGTGATAAATTGAATAGCTTTAATGTTATGATTTTAATATAATAATTAGTTATTATTTGCCCCCACTACACATAAATTCTAGCTCCGCTCCTGCTGGTTGGGATATGTCTATCTTCTTCCTGCTACATTGAATTGCCTTGCATTATCAATTATAGCATCCGAAAAAAGTATGATGTATGCTTCTTGAGGTATCTATTAGCTCTATAATTAATCACGCTTAATTGCTTAGTGTAAACTAAAACTCGTTTGTGGGTGTGTTTTCTGAACTGTTTTACTTGAGTAATTGTTTTAGAAAATACTATTGTTCAATTCTTGCAATTTGAAACTATTAATTTGTTGATTGCAGACTGTACCAGTTAATCCTAAACCTTTCTTGAACAATTTGACTGGAAAGCCTGTCATGGTAAAACTCAAGTGGGGAATGGAGTACAAAGGTGTGTTCTTCCAAAAGGAACCATATTTTTCCATTTTTAATTGATTTTCTCATCCTAATTTTTGTATTTTGAAACCCCCTAGATATTTATGTTTTATGTGAAGACTTGTGCATGATTCCAATATTCCCTTTTTGATTTTCATTTCAGGTTATCTGGTCTCTGTGGATTCATACATGAACTTGCAGGTACCACTGTAAATCCATTTTTCACGCATGTGTGAATATCTACACGCCCACCTATTTCTTCATGCTCAAGTGCACTGTCAACCTTGAATCAGGGATATTGAATAGCTTCTTAAGATCTTAGTAGTGAAATACACTCGAAGCATTTTCCTATTGAGAAATAGTGTAAATGATCCTTATATAAGCAATTTGTATATACATATATATATGTTATATTTTAGAACTCCTTATACTTGGTTTATAAATTTAATTCAATTGTCCTTCCTATGTAATTAATGCATTCTGCTGATGGTTGGAATCAGGAATTGTTATTTTGAGCTATTTTCAACTTTCTATTCATTTTGTCAGTTTTTATGGTTGCCTTTTTGTGAACAATGTGTACTTATCTGCAGTTGGCTAATGCTGAAGAATATATTGATGGGCAGTTCACTGGAAGTCTTGGAGAGATATTGATCAGGTATTGTCTAATTGATTTCTGTCCTGAATTATAATATGCAAAGAATCCTTTCATTTTTTTCCCATTAAAATAGATATGTATATAAATTTGTATTGGGATGTTTGTCAGTATTTGAAGGGTATAAATTGGTGGAGACCTAAAATGTGTCAATGGAGGTTTGCAGAATTATACATGCTTCCCTGAATACATAATTGGATAAAGAAATTCTACTTTTTTTCATTCTGTATTTTAGGAACTTCAGCACAAGTTATAAAACTGGGAGAAAAGGGTTGAGGAGGGAGTTTTGAATCTGGCTATCTTGATTCCCCTTGGTCACATCCTTGGATATGGTTAGGAGGAATGTATCTATCTATTTCCTTCGTGTAATTGCGAGGTTATTGAAGTGACTAGGATGCAAGACATGCTAAAATAAGAGTAATGTGAAAACAAGCACAGATTCTTCCAAGAGTCGGGCATGTTTGGTGGAGCAAAAATATTGTGGCTAAATTGCAGGATGTGGGTAGATTACTGTTGTTGCCGGATGTTTGCAGCATAGAATAGGTATGTTGGGCTGTTTACGAAATGTTATAGGTTATTGGAAGTTGTGTTGATGTGTGTCAACTGATAGAGCATCGAAGAGAAAATGTGATCCGTTACACTAGAGGAATAAGAAAGGCAAATTTTTTTCAGATATTCAAGCTAAGTATGTCGGNTTGGAAGTTGTGTTGATGTGTGTCAACTGATAGAGCATCGAAGAGAAAATGTGATCCATTACACTAGAGGAATAAGAAAGGCAAATTTTTTTCAGATATTCAAGCTAAGTATGTCGGTACTTATATTCGATATCATGAATGAATCCTGTGATATGCTAAAATTTTAACGAATGAATAATTGTGTTCTTGTCCATTATGATTGCATGTTGCACACTCAATAGGCGATGTGCACAAGTTTCACAGGAAAACAGATTGCCAAACAAAAGGGATTTCTCATCATNATTCAAGCTAAGTATGTCGGTACTTATATTCGATATCATGAATGAATCCTGTGATATGCTAAAATTTTAACGAATGAATAATTGTGTTCTTGTCCATTATGATTGCATGTTGCACAGTCAATAGGCGATGTGCACAAGTTTCACAGGAAAACAGATTGCCAAACACAAGGGATTTCTCATCACCTTAGTTCTGGCCCCCCTTGAACGTGGTCATTTGCGGAGGTTATATAATCTCTTATCATGTCGTCTTCCATGAAACACTCAGAAAATTCCTCTTAAATTTTTCCTAGGTTAGAATAAGTTTAACATTATATTGAAGAGAGTGCATTGAGACAATTTATCACAGGTTTTCTGTATTTTTTAGGTTCCTTTCCTCCAAAAAAAGTAGCTTCAACTTCACATTAACAGTCTAATATTGAGTACTATGAATTGCCTAGTTTCAAGAATTACGCTGTTGAGGTGTGTGACTGCATCTTTTGTGTGTTGCATATGCAGATGTAACAATGTTCTCTATCTTCGCGGCGTACCAGAGGATGAAGAAATAGAAGAAGCTGATCAAGACTAGAACATGGATTTCGGAGTCCGCCTAAGCAAGGCCCTCCAAGCACAATCCTAGTTTCTGTTTTACTTTGTTTCTATTAATCCTCGGAGTTTCGGCTTGTATTTGTATAATTTCTAGAAGTATCGTGACTTAATTGATGCACTTGCTGCCTCCGACTTGTAGTAGGCCCTGACCCACTATCATTTCATGTTACAGTTCAAGGAGGATGGTTGGTTGCTTTATTTTGAGAAACCTTTCATTATGTCCTACAAAGCCTTCTGACTTTGACAGAGTTTGCCTTCAATAGGCCTAATTCTCCCTATGATACATTTTTCTTCTATTATGTTTGGTAGGATAGATGGAAATAAAAATGATTAATTTATTTTTTTTGGTAAGATAAAAAAAATATTTTTTTTAAAGTGTAAATATATATTCTATTATTATATTTATATATGAAATTAATGTATACATAATTTATATAATAAAACATGATGCAACTTGAATTTTATTTTCACTATATTTTTCTCCCTAAATTAACCCAATCCAAGCATCACATCCAACCCAAGCAACTGCTACCTGGCAAAACAGTTACTTCCCCAAAACTCTGCAACGTGCAAATAGAATTGTCAAAATTTGACACGATACGATTAATTGACACGAATCGATACAAATTAAGCGAGTTTGGGTGAGATTTTAACGGGTTTGAGTGATAAATGGGTTGACACGTCAAACACATTTAATAAACGGGTTGTGTTCCGGTGAGACCTGTCAAACAGTTTATCACATATTTACCCATTTAAATAAAATTAATATAATAATAAATTAATAATTATTTTAAAAATTAACAAGAAAAAAAGAAGTAAAGAAATCAATAAAAAAAATAATAATAAAGTAGTAGTTCAAAGACAAAAGAGAGGAGATGAATAACACTTCAAAAATAAAGGCAAATCAATGCCTTTTATTTTTGTCTCACAGCGAAAAATGAGGGGAGATGGGAAAAGTTGAGTTGCCTATAAAAAGCAATGACCTCTTGCTTTTTTTTTTTTAAGCCTTCAAATCTAATTGCTATGAGATTTGCCTAAAAATTCCTCTTTTTTGAGGTAAGTGCAATTGACAATAAAAAAAAGTGGAGTGNGATGGTTGGTTGCTTTATTTTGAGAAACCTTTCATTATGTCCTACAAAGCCTTCTGACTTTGACAGAGTTTGCCTTCAATAGGCCTAATTCTCCCTATGATACATTTTTCTTCTATTATGTTTGGTAGGATAGATGGAAATAAAAATGATTAATTTATTTTTTTTGGTAAGATAAAAAAAATATTTTTTTTAAAGTGTAAATATATATTCTATTATTATATTTATATATGAAATTAATGTATACATAATTTATATAATAAAACATGATGCAACTTGAATTTTATTTTCACTATATTTTTCTCCCTAAATTAACCCAATCCAAGCATCACATCCAACCCAAGCAACTGCTACCTGGCAAAACAGTTACTTCCCCAAAACTCTGCAACGTGCAAATAGAATTGTCAAAATTTGACACGATACGATTAATTGACACGAATCGATACAAATTAAGCGAGTTTGGGTGAGATTTTAACGGGTTTGAGTGATAAATGGGTTGACACGTCAAACACATTTAATAAACGGGTTGTGTTCCGGTGAGACCTGTCAAACAGTTTATCACATATTTACCCATTTAAATAAAATTAATATAATAATAAATTAATAATTATTTTAAAAATTAACAAGAAAAAAAGAAGTAAAGAAATCAATAAAAAAAATAATAATAAAGTAGTAGTTCAAAGACAAAAGAGAGGAGATGAATAACACTTCAAAAATAAAGGCAAATCAATGCCTTTTATTTTTGTCTCACAGCGAAAAATGAGGGGAGATGGGAAAAGTTGAGTTGCCTATAAAAAGCAATGACCTCTTGCTTTTTTTTTTTTAAGCCTTCAAATCTAATTGCTATGAGATTTGCCTAAAAATTCCTCTTTTTTGAGGTAAGTGCAATTGACAATAAAAAAAAGTGGAGTGTTAAAATTTGTTAATATAATTTTTTTTAAATTAAACGGGTTAAACGAGTCGTGTCGTGTTACCCGTTTATTAAATGGGTTGTGTTCGTGTTGAGATTTTTTACTCGTTTATTAAACGTGTTGTGTACGGGTTTATATATTTTTCACCTGCCACCTGTTTAACCCGACACAACCGTTTAACCCGACACGTTTGACACCCCTACCTGCAAAAACGTCTAGGCTCTCTCTCAATCTCTCAAAGGCACCCTCTTAATCATTCTCTGTTTTTCAAGTAGTGTTCTGTATCTGTTTATTTGCTTGGACTGCATTTAACATTTAGCATTTGCTTGATTTGTCATTGATCATATAGTTTTGTTTGCTACTTAAGTTGACATTGATGGGTCATGTGCGTAGGTGACTTTTCTTGGGTTTGGATTAGGGACAAAGTGAGACTTTTGGGTTTTACAAATCATCACCCTTGATCATGGTCTCCTCCTTCCACGGTTCCATTATGATACTCTGAGGTATTGGGCTTTTTCTAATTATTTAGGCTCTTTCCAAAAAGTTGCAACGACTTACCATATTTAGCCTAATTTGCATGTTCAGCATATTCAGGGATTCTATTCATGTTAAATTTGCCTATCATGCCTCCATGTTGGTATTTTGAGTTTCCTTTCTATTTTGCTGTTAAAGAATCCAGCTTTGCATTTTTCTTCATTTTTTTTTTGTCATGTGTACGAATTTTCTGATTGGTTGCTCAAAAAGTCGGTGAGCCTCTATTTTTCTTGGGCCTCTATTTTGTATTGTTCTCCATTTTTTTTAAAGGGAAGCTTAATTTAAAGAAGTTAGTACGAGAGTTGGTTCGATTTGTGAAGCTTTTGTATTTTTTTTTTCTGAATGTGTGAAAAAAATAGGATACCATGAATATGTTGAATATGCAAATTAATATATGTGCTATATATAGTTGGTTTTACTCTGACTTTACTCTTCATTTAAAGAAAGAAAGTTCCTTTGCAATTATAGTGCATGGAGAATTAATGGCTTTCACAGAGGTGTAAATTGGAGAATCAATGATTATGAGAAAACCATATTTTTTTCCTTTTAGATCTAAAGTATTGGTTTTTGTTATTATTTATGGTACATTTTTTTTCAGATTCTTGACTTTGCAAAATGACTTTGAGTTCCAAGTATGTGAAGCACTTTCGAGGAAACTTAGTTTTAGTTATATTTGCCAATGTTCTGACTTATTTGTGTTGTGTAGAATGGAATCGAGGTCATTGAATAATAACTGTGCACATTACCTAATTGTTGTTGTCCTTTTTTTAGTTTTGGTTTTCTTTAGTTGCATAGGTTTTATGAGAATTTTTTATTTTGAGTTTGTTGTACATATGATGGCATTTTTAGGCAGTTGTANGGGGGGGGGAGGGAATGGGACTTGAACCCTTGATTTTAAGAAAACAAAGTCTTCACAAGATAAGGAGTATCATTGGACGAAAGACCCACTGATTAGCAATATAGAATAAAATCCTTTTTTTTTGGATAGAATAAGGAGGGTTAACTGGGAAGCGAGAGGTTCCGAGACAATTAAATTACTTGATTCATATTAAATCAGGATAGTGCTTTCAAACATCACATACACAATATGCAAACACGCGCAAGCAAGCAATAACAAAAATTCAAATAAAGCAATCCAAAAAAGATTAAAGTTCTCAAAAAATATCTTCAATTAATAAGTTAAAGAGTTCAGAGTAGGTAAAGTAATGGGAAAGAAAGGTAATCTTTAGTCCTATCATTAAGTTTTTGAATGTCTAATATGCATGAACAACAATATAATGAAATGCACGGAGATAGTAATAGACAATCTCGNAACGGAAAGCGACCATCGGCAATGCAGCTTTAGGGACAACACAACTCAAGTGACGACGGTGAGCTCCTATGTATTTTGTCCAAATTTTGATATGTTGTTGTTATTTTAGTCCACTCTTCTATCCAAGTCTCTTTTTCTATATTTTAACGTGTGAGTTGGATTTTCATGACTTGGATAGATTTTTTAAATTCAGGTTANGGTAAATTTTTCAACAATGCATGGTATTTATTTGTGACCCGTCACGTAAATCGAGTGCTTTAGATTTTTTATGAGTCAAATAATTAATTTTATATGGTTGGATCAATTAATTGAAATTCTTATGAATAATTGTTATTTTGTTTGTTTGTGATAAAAAGAGGTTTTCATTAATGGAAAACNTTTAGTTGAAAGAGAATCCTTGATACTTTAGTACTTTCTAAATATTGTTTATAATCAATAATTTGTTGCTTTTGTAAAAATCAATCACTCAACTCTTTACAAAACTATTTTTTTATACCAGTTGGTAAACACATGTCTTGCACATTGATTATTTTAAATATCAAGTATTGTATATAATTGTCACGCAAATAAACAAATATTTCATTATTCGTGCCTGCATAAAAAAATGGTCTACCATTGCACCAGATATCATTGCACTAGATATGTATCTGTCACAATTTTTATAGAATGAAGCAGTCGTAAACCCCAGATATCATTGCACCTAGGAGCAGTCTCAAACATTTTGAGGTTTAAAGCGAAAACATAATAATTTTTTTAAAAATATTAATAATAAATTTTAAATAAAGTTTTTTTTTTATTTTTTGAAATGCAAAAATATTAATTAGATAGTTGAATTTGATGGAGAGAGAGAAAGAGGGAGAGATAATGATTGAAAAATTATGATAGTAAATTTGAATTTGATTTTTTTTTTGGGGGGGGTTAAAACTTAATTTTTAGTAGCTTTAATTTTACTATTAATTTTTTTTTGTTTTCAAAAAATTGAATTTTAGGTCTTTTTAATTTCATGGGTTGAATTAATACATCCAATCCACTAAAGTAGAAATTTTTTGTTTGAACTTAAATCTAAGTTTTTCTGTGGAGCCTATTTTTTTATAGATTTATAGATTTTTTATTTGGATTATTACTACACATCTAA